AAATCGAATATACCACTACAAGATAATATAGATCTACTTTAATACAGTACGCAACCAAGTAACAGCTCTTTTAAAATCGAATATACCACTACGAGATAGTATAGAACTACTTTAATACAGTGCGCAACACCAAGTAACAGCTCTATTTAAATCGAATACCACTACAAGATAGTATAGTTCTACATTAATACAGTACGCAACGAACTAACAGTTCGATATGCATCGTATCTATCGAATATACCACTACGAGATAGTATAATTCTACATTAATACACAGTGTATAACCAAGTAACAAGTAACATATGCATCGCATATATCTAATATACTACTACAGGATAGTATAGTACTATATTAATACAGTGCGTTAAAAAGATAAAACTTTTACCTTATGGTTGCTGCATAATTTTGTCGAAAGTATGTTCGCAGGAAAAAAAGTGGAAAAAATTCTGAAAAGAAATAAAAATGAAAGTTTAGCTAACTTTATTATGCAACTTGGAGTATATTAAATCGTTGCAACAAGGATGGATAACAATATATTGATTTTTCTTTTGTAAAGATAGTGATTTTATGAATCTTTTCGTTCGCACGAGGCAGTCTTTGAACCTAAAAAGCCCACCAAATCGTTTAAAATATAGAAGATATAAAAATGTAGCCCTTTAAACTAAAAAAAGCTCATAACTAGACTTTCTAATTAATTTAAAAAGAAGAAATGAAGTTCGTGTTTCAAATGGTTTCATTTGGGTTGTTCCTTGCCTCACACGTGTACATCGAAAGACTGGATATTTCGTTCTAAATTTTGAGAATTTGAATTTTTTGGGGGTTAAAAATACAGCAAATATCACACTACTTTCAAACTTCAGTCTCTGTAAAAAAAAATTCTAATATTTCGTATTATATTTTAAGAGTATTTTCTACGAGTAAAAAACTGTGTCTTACCTATTCGAAGTCTTTGCAGCAACTGTGAATACTATTTTGAATGTGGCGCCACATGAACCATTTAAATTCCAACGAGACAAATCGACCAGTAGGATAGAGTTTAAAAATGGTGATGTAATTTTTCACCAATGGGATTCAAGATATTTCCTGCGCGTTTGTATTGTACATTGACAATATATTGACATGAAAATATTCAACGTTCGTATGTTTATATCACAACTCTTAATTAACTATATTATTTAATGTGATTCTCATGATCTAAAAAAAAAATCTTGTATTTTTGTATGCAAAACAAAAATGCAAACATAAAACCTATGAAAATACCCCGCCAAAAATTTCCGTCTTCAGTTTTTTGCTCGACAGTTCGAACATTTGTAAATTTTGAATTTTTGGCTCCGTTTTTTAATGAAGTCAAATCTTTGCCTTTTTTATACTGTCCAAATCATGACAACGTCAACGTGTATTTTACGTTTAATTCTTCATAAACATGCCCATTATTGAGGAATGATACAGCATTCTGGACAAACTGCAGACGTGAGGTTTCGCACGAAGGAAGTGTTTTCAATCCTATTTACTTGTGGTAACACCACAGGGACCCCGTTATGTGGTTTTGGGTTTTCTACTATACCTGTAGTAAAGTAAGTAAGAGAGAAAGAAAGAAAGAAAGAAAGAAAGAAAGAAAGAAGACAGTTTCAGTAAATATTTTCACAAGTTTATTTCAAAGAAACGGGTGACAAAAGTAATGTGGAAATGGCATAAAATATATTAAATAGCATTCAATCATCAACGTACTTAATTTACTTTCAGGAATATCAGGTTTCAATATCCTCTTTCACAAACAAACCAAGAAATTCAAAAAATTCCCAATGAAATACTAAGTCCAGAACCCCAGAGGATGTCCCCAATCATCATTACTCAGCAATTTTCATTGTATTCACATACTATGATAACGTGACGGGCAAGTTATAAGCCTTTTCATAGTTTAAGAATCGATTCCACTGCGCATGCGATTTTATCCCGAATTTCTCACCTTCTTTTGTTTAATTAAGAACAAGAGAAGGTTTAGACAAAAGAAGGTGAGAAATTCGGGATAAAATCGCATGCGCAGTGGAATCGATTCTTAAACTATGAAACTAAAAGCTTATTGAGATCACCCTTATGACGTCACGCCATGCTTATGCAAACGTCAATGTCGATTACACTATATAAACTTCAACATCAAAAAGCACAAAAAAGCTGAACTGAAAACGTTAACTACTCAAAAAATCCAAAATGATCGTTCCTAAACTTGGAAGATTTCATTCTTCCGGTAGTTTTGCAGGATCTCGGAGTGTTCTCGCGATAATCCTAGCAAGAGGACCGCGTTTAGGTGCTGTGAATATAAGAAGTTGTTGTCAGATGCAAGGTGGTTATTTTCCCAAGATTTCAACGCCTTCTGCTCCATATTCGGTGAGCAATTCGATTAATACTCGTTTACAATAGATACATATTCTTCAAGTCATAAAAATGAAAGCTCTAAAGTCGATTTTTTAAGACATATTAATGGCGACACTACGATCCTTGAATTAAAAACGCAACTTCAAAATGGCTTTCAAAAATCGTGGTCGTCGAAATAATGTATGAGTCAATTCCAAAGGTTCCCATCCCCCCCCTCCGGGCAACCCCCCGGGCATTTGACTTTTTGAAAAATAATTGGTCAAATTCCCCACCATGCGGGCCAAAAAATGATCAAATGCTCCATCGTTCAGGCTCCACGAAGTGGTCAAATGCCCGCCTCTCCAGTCCGATGAATCTCTAATTTTGCCTAAAAAGTACAAAACTGAGCCTGTATACATCCAACAAGTTTCATGCTAAGTACCTTTTGAGATCGTTTTATCATTTATAGCTTTATATAAAGAATTAAATAAGAATTAAATAAGAATCTAGACTTGAAATCTTTGCTGACTTTGGAATTAGCGTAAACCTATTTATTGTTTTGGACTCCAAAAACTTATCTTCATCTACTCGTTCTGTACTGTCATCCACCTTGAAAAGTTTCTTTTTAATTCCAAGCTTTTCTTTCCCTGTTTCTCAAAGAAGCGACAAGGATAAGATTGTATTTTGAAACCAAATTTTTGTGGCGATTCGATTTCAATGAGATCGTATTAAACGACAGAAAAAAGGCTTTATTTTATCATCTTTTTCGGCTTTATGCAAATAAATTCGATATTCAGTCAATATAAATGTATTTTTATCATTCTGGAGGTCTGACAAAATAAAA